GCAAAGTGCTGATGTTGTGGGTTGACTGGAATCTTCTGAGCTGTTGGCTGAAACTAATAGCTCTGTATTCTTTGCTGCTCAGCTTGAAAATTCAGGAAATTGTAGATGGAACCACAACAATATATAACTATGGCATTCTCAGGAAAATTTATTTCCTAAGAAGTATATCATAAGACATTAACAGCAGGAACAGGTAGGAAATTTGTAAAGTATCCGCAATTGACAACTAAATTGAGTTATTTAGGGTACTGAATAAAGAGACTAGACAAGTTTTCAAGAAAAAATCTTTATTACACCTAAAACAGAAGAAAAAGTAGTGTGCATACTTATGCAGACAAGATCATAGTCGAAAATCTAAAAGATGATGTTTAGTCTTTTGCACTCACAGTAGTAATCCTCAATCTAAAGAGCAATAAACCATAATGAGAGCCATTAGCTTTTTTGGTAGCTGTAACACAAACAGAACATGAAGGTGTGTGTGTGTGTGTGTTGCTTGTAAATTTTATGTTTTATTCTACTAGAGCTTTGTTAGATTTAAATTCAGAAGTTTATAATTTCTACAGTTTATTTACTCATTTGTTTATAGACACTTGAAGTACTGGTACTGTCATCCTGTTGAGTTTTAATACTTGCCTCTAGTATCCAGGTTTTGAAAGCGTTACAAGATCTGGTGTGTCTTACTAAATAAGTCAATAGATTTGTCATTTTTTATCAGAACCATTCAGTTCAGATTGTCTTTTGTACTAGATGTGTTTGATGGGGTATTACATGCTATGAAACAGGTTTAACTTCAGTCATTGAGATGCCCTTCACAGCCATCAAATTTGTTTAAGAGCTCTACATAACTAACCTCATATCAGAGTACTCTAGGCAGGCAGATCTCTTAATTGTTTAAATTATTTTCAATAAACAGAACTGCCTTCACCTTTTATAAACTTTTCCCATTCAAATACAAAATACCACAACCAAAATAATTTTTTTGTACAAAAAGCATAATTATTTCTCCTAGTTATTATTAATGTTATTGTAATGTAATAATATGGCGACATTTGTATTTCACAGCTATAAGGGTTTCTAAGAATACTTATTCATAAATATTTCATTTTTTCTTAACCCTATGTGTATTGCTGGAGGTTAAAGTGGGCATGTCATGACATTTTACAGAATTACATTCAAAACTTAAAAGCTGTATTATTAATTTATGTCAATGAATTTGGTATAAACACATAGTTAATAAATCTAATTTTAATACAAGTTTTACTTTTTTAACTTCAAGAAAAATATTTAAATATATCCTCAGTCTTCACTTCTATGTACCATATGGCACTTTTGCATGGAATTGCCCACTTAAACATTCTTTCTACCCATATGTCAGCTTTTGAGTTTTAATATAAATTACAAACTTAAAGTACAGATATTGCTGAGTTACTAATCCAATTTTATAGCCTCTAATCATCTTTATTTAGAGAAATAAAAACCATAAAAAATAAAATCATATGCAATGCTCATGTATTACATACTGTCTTCTAAAAATTGTCAGTAATTCTCTCTCACGTTTGCTATTATACTACTTACAACCAATAGAAAGAGAAACTTCAACTTATTGTATTATATATAATGCTAGACCATTCAGTTCACAGCTTTTGAATTATTCGGTCTACAAATTAAAAGTTATCATTACCAAGTTCACCTCGAGCATGGTAAGGGAATTATTTTAATGTACTTATAGATTAGTTAGAAAGCCAGATTAATAATAATTTATAAGACATTGTATTCTTTGTGCATGTTATTATTTTGTTTTTAAACTGAATATCTGAAGTAAATAAAAATTCAGTAAAACACAAACAACAACTATATCAAAAATTGTTTAACTTTTATCAATATTTTCAGTGCTAAAATGTACAAGACAATTCATAAGTACTAAATTTCTTTTTTTATCTGTTGTTATAAAGGTAACTAAAACATAAAAATTAGAAACTTAAGTTAGTGAAAAAAAAAATTAAAAAAGAAAATTAAATACATTTCTCAGTGAATCACACACTTGCACATGCATTATGTAATTCAATATTTTGTTTACCATAACCTGAGCATATTGTCTGGTGGATGATTTTTTTTGTTATACAAGTTTAGCAGTTAGACACAATTCAAAAACTATAAAAAAATATAAATTAAATTAAAACAGATGTCAACTGTTATAAGCCTGAGGCTGTTCTGGATAAATAATTGTAATTTTCTGTTACAATCTGCGGTCATCCTACAAAAAAATGTAACTGATTTTTTTGTGATGGTAACAAAGTCAGTCAAATTAAATAAAATCATATAGTGTTATGGTAGATAAAATAATAGATAGAATATAAAGATGAAAACTGACTTGTACTCAGTTTAGTCAGAGTCTGAGTCAGATTGACTAAAGTAAATTTGAAGAAATCTGTTTAGTAGAAATTCTTTAAAAGTTTTTTTGTACAACCTACTTGTTATATTTACTAAAAGCTTACCAAATTTCACAAAATTTACATTGAGAAAATTTGGATATTTAGAATTTATAGTATACATTAATTCTCCAAAATAGACGTGGTCCAATTGAGCAACTCTATGCATGTAGAGTTAATGGATAAATTGAAATTACAAGGCAATGTGGTATTATCAGGTGAACTGATTTCTTTGCAAATGTTAGCTTGGTGTGCTTAATAACGAGAAAATCAAATAAGAAACTAATGACATAATCTGAAATTGAAAACTGGCTGTGTGACAAATAAGAATATTGGATATGTGAGAAGGAAAGTGAAAACAATCTTTATTCATGACACAACAAAAAACAGTGTGTGTATCTGCATGAACACTGGCAATTTCCTCTACAGGATCAGTGAATAGATTGTCAGTTCTTTCCTGTGAGACAAATATCTGGAGAACTATCCATGATGAAACTAAGCAGAACTCTAAAAAGTATCAAGGCTCTGTACTGATACAGAAAACCTTGGTTTTTTTTCTTTGCATAACATCACCTGTGACTAGGTCATTCTTTCACAGCATTTGTTGGCTAGAAATAGACATCATCCATTTGTTCAGTGATGGACTTTGCAGATGTTGACCCTTTCCTAAACTTATTTGGGAAGTTGCTACAAAACCCCTGTGGGCAAAGTAGATACTATCTGCTATTAAGAATAACAGTCACAATGACAACAGGAGCAACCAGAGAGATTGCATACCCATGCCCTGCTGCTCCTTTTCGAGATTGGATAACATAAAATTTCACCTTTGAAAACTCAGAAAATCCTTCTCAGATCCAGAATGATCAACAATCCGGATCATTTTTTGTAGTGTGATGAGGAGTATCAATGTTAATGTGCCCACAAAATTTGGTACAAATCCAATCACATCAAATCAAGTGAAAACTATGAAAATGTCCTATCTCCCCATTATAAAAAATGCTTCAAAGTGATCCAGAATCCACATCCGAATTTAGATCAGGACCAAATTTGGGGAGGGCTGTCCCATACTGACTTCTCATCTTGGGTAAAATATTTGTTTACATTGGTGTATTAGTTTTCTAAATACGGAAACACATAGACCTGATTGCAATATACTCGTAGGGCGAGAGTAACTAGACTGAAACAATTTTAGCAGTTTTATGGACTACATGTTTAAGCCAAAACTACATAGAAACAGAATAAGCAAAAAATTTTGAACACTTCTAAAATTAATAAAGATGATGGAAACACACAATATGCTTGCATATCAAAACAATACTGAATTAAGACTTAACCTTCATATGATATAATTTGCTGTGATGTTTTACAATTTACTAAAATAATATTAAAAATATTAAAGTAACAAATTTTATATAAACATATAAAAACAATATTATAAACAACCTGTAGCAGTAGCTACACAGCTTGAAAAAAATTGTAATTCCTGAGAACATCTAGTAAAAATAAAAAAATTACTTACAAACAAAAAAAAAGCTTTCAAAATGTAGTATTACTTTTACAGTTATTTTGTCACATTAGGTACTTGCATTTGTGAAATAGAATTTCTGTCAAAAAATGGAGAAGTAGCAAAGCTAGATTAACATATGGGGCTTGGGCTCCCAACCACATTATGAGTTTCAGAGATAAAAATGAGTTACAGAATTCTTATTATTTAATTATTTAGCATTACTAATGAGTTTTAGTTTTACAACATGAAAGTTTCATGTCATGGGTGCTTAATTGTCCCCTTTTGATCAAAAGTACTAAATAAATTTAAAGAAGAGTCGAACCTTCACAAAACTTGAACAGTTCTAATATTTAGGTATTATGGCTTGTTTACTGCTATGTAGGAAATACCTCTGTAGACATACAGATATATAGAAAATGAGAAAAAGATAAGAGAAATATCATAGCTTCTTTGAAGTCAAATATTTTTTCTCCAGTCTTAATATTTATAATCAAAGAATTCTTACTCAAGTCCTAGATTTTTATTAACACAATAAATGATAAAAATATACCACATAGTGTGTTTTTATATGTGGAATGCCCAGAGTGACAAAATTTCTTAGTTAGGCCCTGGTTTGTAGGAAGATTTAAAAAAAATTAACATACTCACTTAACTTTTTTTGGGGGTATTTCATTGTATTTTTGTTAACAGTGCTTCAACTATTTAATATATGCAAACCTAGCTACAGAAACGTTTGCACACTTTCTTTGACAACTTTCTCTTCAAGGTTGTTCTTTGATTGAACATTAATAACCATTAGACTGAAACATTTTTTTAGTATCACTTAGTAAAGGTTTATCAGATTCAGTAGAACTAAACTGGAAAAATCTGACACCATACATACAGTGTCCTAACCAAATCCTGAGTGGTATTAAACACTTCTCTAAACTGTAATATCTGTTTTGAAATTATTTTGTTTTTTTTATATTCAGCAGCAGAGGTTAATCAAAATGAAGTTAACTGTTCATTGCAATGTTTTAATAGATAAGGTAATATATTCTCTACTTAATGAAATAGAAACTCACCCAATCCAAATATTTCCAGGAATTCTCTTTACAAAGTGAAAACGTCCTCTTGTGAACAGAAGAGTGGTCAGGTGCATATTGTTCTATCTACAAGAAGACAAAATTTAACATTTTCTTCACCTGAGAAAGTATTTACAAAAGATAATTTCGCATACAGATCGGTTTTATCTATTGAACATCTGCCTATAAGACTTGCATGCCACTAGCCTTGAGCTAACTCTCACCAAAAAAGCAAATGTTTAACATGAACTGTGCTAGCGCATGATAACATTATGCAACAATAGCCCTCCACCAATATTAGTGCAACACAAACTTCTTGCACGGAAGCTCCACTAAGCACTTGCATTCGAATTAACTTTATTCTTAGATGAGACAAGAAGAAAGTGCACCAGAGTGGGAAGGACAGGTTGGAAACTGTGCTGAGGTATCAATTGGAAATATATTTTCTGGTAAGGAAAACATTAAAATTCAAGATGAAACTCACCTCTTTACTGAAATGGTGGAGGGCCTGGTGCAAATATTAAAGCTAGATAAACTCACTTCAGAAAAAGTGAGAATAAAAGGCCCATGGAATGTGACACCTGATGACAGGGCTCCATAGGTGCACAACTGTGCGATACTGCTTTTCATCTTGATCATGGTATACTCTTCACCTGGAATAAAATCAGAGGAAAATGCAAAAGATCTCCAAGTTTTGCAGGGATGGGCAGAATTTTTACATGACTAACCAAGCACCTGCACACAAGTGGTCAGCAAGCCAAGAAGTGTAGTGTGGTTAGAGCGCAATCAGAATGTATGGTATCTGACTCATCTGGACAGACAGAGACAGGAGAGACAAACCCTTCCTGCAGTAGAAGAAGGGCATACTAGCTATTTCAGAAGTGACTGCATTACACAGACAGTGCCACCACTGCCTTACTTTCCACTGTATTATGCTGTACACAGTCAGTAAGGAACTCTCCAAAGTCCATAACTCCAGCAGTAAGAAAATGGTAAGCGGCAAGAGTCTCCCATGCTCCACATGAAGAAGGGAATATATTTCCATTGGGGAGATCTGGAGAAGTGCCCAGATCCCCATCGGGCACTACTGGAAAGTTCTTTTACTAGAGACAGTTTAATGGGTGAGCTTGAAACCCTATACTTAAAAGTATGCAAGTGTGAGCCAAAGAAGTAGGCAGATACTTTTCTGGTACCAGCTTTTTCCATGAATGTCCATGGATGATACGGTCTGGCTTGGGCAACCAAGCAATTTTAATACCAAGAGGATACCTTTAATGGTCTTATGGAACACCCTATCTCAAAATTGGGCATTGGTAGAGCCAGGGAGGATTGGTTAAGTGCTTTCAGTTATTTCACCTGATGCATATTTTGAGAAATAAGCATATCCTGGAAGGCAACATCTGGCAGGATCCTATATGAGGGAAGAGGGTGAGACAAGTGTAATGTAAAAGAAAATGAACTTCACTTTCTCAAAGATGGTTTGTAGTTTTATTGAAGAACACTGACTGGATGGAGTCAAAATCCTATAGAAGCCAAATCAATAAGATTATGAAGATAATAGGAGCCAAATGTTCACATGTCAGCTTGAAAGATCTCTTTAAGGATTGGTGAAAGAATGATCACTTGAGAAATATGTTCAGTCAGCATTGATGGAATATATGTCCAAACAAGAATAACCACAAGGGAAAAGAAGGAAATATGTCTTCAGAGAAAGATAGTGAGGTGGAACATAAAGCCAATGGCTTGAACAGAGTGCACGTACACCTAATCAAGATTCCAATCAGGCATGGGAGTAAGACAAGGGAGTTGATGAAGAAGGAAGGATTGGAACAAAGTGGAGAGGACAGGAAAAAAAAAAGAACCTGAGGGGAATTGGAAAGGCAAAATATTGTTGATAAAGCCATCTGATAACCAGCAATAGTGGAAACTAAGAATCCATGGTCAAACAACCATGTGAAAAAAGCCAGAATATGGACTACAGTAGTATGGCCTGGAGGAAGGAAGTGGCAGATGGATCAATGTCAAAAAATTCACCAATTCTATTGATAGACAGACAGAGTGGAAGGGCAACAGGAATGGGATAAGAAAAAGGCTAGACAACTGCAGACTCCAGTACTGCAGGCAAGGGACTGGATAAATCAAATACTTGAAGAGAAAGGAATGACACCCCTATGTGAAAGAAAATGTGTGTGTGGTTGGGGTAAGAAAGAGAGGAAATTGGGCAGAAGTGGCCTGACATTAACTTACAAAGCAGAGGAAATCAGGATTGTGCTAGCCAAAGAGGCACCATCAACAGGACCTGACAACAAGTGTCACACATTAAAGCAAAGGCACAAGGACGAAGGTTAAGAGTACGATAGGCATACAGAAAAAGTTAAACTATTCCTGGCTAACGGCATTGACTCATAGGTCTGGAGGATGAAAAATTGGGGACCAGAAGAGGGTAAAAGTTTGGTGTTGAGAGGAATGGCAAAGACATTGATGAAAAACCTGAGTGTGGTAGACCCCTATATGGTCAGAAGAAGCAAGACAAAATCCAATGGGAATGAGTCCAAAATAGCAGGTCCACTGCTGCAAATAAAGTATCTTGGAATTGATACCCCCATGACAAGTGATATAAAAAACGACTGTGGGATCATGACCAACTGATCCAAAAGAGTAGGGAGGAAATTTAAAGATTCCTCGTGAGCATTTAGAAGTTCAAAGATGGTGAGAAAAAGTGAACATTTCCTCCAGAGCTCACATGGCTAAATTCATGTAGCTGTTCAAACATGCCCCAGCCTGACAGAGAAGCATCTGTGAAGAGATGGAGGTATAATAGGGTAGGGGAGGAATGACAAGAGGATGCCCATAGTGGTGTTGGCATGGTTGAACCACCAATACAAATCCCTAAGAAGGGGAAATGAGTGGCACACAATCCAGGACAATGGATCCCGAGGAAGATTCTACTGGTTCCACAATTTCCACTGGAGGAGATGCATGTGTGTGTGACCTAAAGGAATGAGTAATATGAGGGAAGCCAGAGTTCCCCAAAACAAAAGAACCTTGTGCACAGGTTGTAAAAAGAGAAGCACAAATCTGAATGACAAGACATTCTATTGTTTGTAATCAAAGTGGTGAGGCCTGAGCCCAACTGAGATGGGAGTTAAGGAACATGCTCAGATGTACCAAATATGGGGTAGATGTGAGATAAGACTTGGAAGTCTGGACAAGCCCACTTACCTGAGCAGCCTCCCATGTAAGAATGGAGGTCTGATAGGAGTTATCTTGAAAAGGGGTGAAGAGAAGCCAATTATCCATGTAATAATGGAACCTCAGCCCAAATCAGTGAACAAGGCAAGCAAATACTCCCATGGATCAATTAAAGACATAAAGAGCAAATGCAATGCCAATAGGAAAAGTATAGGACTGGAAGACCCAATCTCAATGGACAAAGCAAAGAAAACATTTGGAGGACAGGGCAATCAAAATGTGTAAAAAGATGTTCAAAACATCAAGCTTGGTCGTTCACAGTCTGGGTGAAAAGAACCACTGCAGAGAAAAGAAACTCAATATGCAACAAGGGGATGATAAGAAACCAGATGAGAGTTAACCCGTTGACAATCTGACACCAGTCCCCAAAAAACCTCTTTGGAACATGATGAAGTGCCTCAGACACAAGGTGGAGTGATGAGGGATGAAGCAGGAGGGTGGTAATAAGGAGATGAAGGCACAAAAACTTGGTGCTGGAAAGGGATATAGAAGTTAAGGGGACTGCCTCGCAATCACGTAAAAAAGATTCCAAAGACTGGTAATCAAGGAATGGAAATTAAAAATGGCTGTAAGCAGGACAAAATGATAAGTAGATGAGGAGGATGAGGCATGTTAGTACTGGTGTGCAGTTGTTCAAGAAATTAACTTGCATAGACCCTAATGTTAGGTGAATGCAGGAAGACAAAATAGTCTTGAGTTATGGGTTTCATGTAGTAAAACATGGGAGGAATCAAAAGACAAAGGGGGGGAGAAAGAAAAGAACCTACTTGTGAAATCATGTCAAAGAAGAGGCTAGAAAGGTGAGGATTTTCCTCTATAGATAAAGCTGTGCCTAAAACAAACCCTGGTGAGGGAAATAGCTGGTCAAATTATCATCATCCTGATCATGTTTAAATTAGGAAGAAAGAATGTTGGTCAAATGGACAGAAGGAGGAGGCCCAGTATAGATGAAGGAACCAACGACACATTGAACAATGGCTGTCATGACTCCACAGATAATAAGCCACCAGTAGCCACAATAAACACAGGTCTCATGTTATGGGCATTGTCACTATCATGGGACAAAGCAGAAGTTATTGTCATATGAGGATGAACCCTAACAATTTTTTTTTTTCTAATTGACCCATTGACTGCTGATTCACTGTATAGGGTATGGTCTGCCTCCAAGCATGTTATATACGGTGTATGGCATTCAATGGATTAAAAGTAAAAAAAGAAACATGGTTATGTGAAGTATGAACACTAATGAAATTTAAATCAGTAGCAAACCATTACAAATCTCAAGTAACTGATATCAATTTTGAGACATATTCTACACAATGCCAAGGAAAAGAGTATAGTTATTTCAAGTGCAAGTGCTTTGGGGAAGCTACTGCACAAAGAGATTGTGTCACCCTCCCATTGCTGGGAGGTTGTTGTTGCATGATGTCATTATGCACTAGCCCAGTTCACATGCTTTTTAGATGGAAGTTAGCTCTACTCTAGTAAGATTCAAATCTCATAGGCAGATTCATGAGGGATCAAGCTATTCTGTGTGAGAGGTGAGGTATCATGTCAGATTTTTAATTATTTGTCAATCTTATCAATACCTTAAAGGAATAGCATATTTCTTGTAAAACTGTCATTGGAAAACTCAAATTATAGACTGCTTTCTATACAGTAAAACATAACCTAACTTTGGTTGAAAGAACATCACACTTATAGGTTAATAATCAGGATTCATACACCTTTGAAGGACTTTGGTGAGGACTCCCATACTCCACTAGAAGAAAAGAAAACACGTTGGAAAGTTCGAAGGACCACCTGACCATAGATAGTGCAATGGTTGACCGCGA